CTCTCTTCTGACTCACCATCTCCTGCCGACTTCCTCCTCCTCCTGGCATTTTGCTGAACCTTCCCTTCTCAGAGCAAATTCCACTGCCCTCCCACTTCAGCCAGAAACAAAGACCCACCTTCCAAGAGGAGTGGAGAAAATACCTGCTCAGGGTGATGACCGATGACCGTGACACCTGTGACCCTCGGGGCCCACGGCTCCAGGGACTGGAAGAAGCAAAGCTTTCTCTCTCACAACTGGGAAACATTCTGGAATGTTGGTTCTTAGAAGGTAGATGTGAAGATCCACCTCGTAAGGATAGGGCAGAAAAGGGAGAGAACCTGCCCCAGAGAATTAAGAGATGAGGTGAGCGAGGGATTGCAGGACAATTACAGCCAGCATGCCCCCCAGAGGGCACATCTCCCTCTTACACGGAATGGAGGAGAGCAGAAGGCCTACGGGCTATTTCTGAATTGCACTTGACAGCCAGTTCTGCTCCAGGATTCCAGAGGATGCGTTTCTCGACCTCTGTGCTAAAGTCTGTAAAGCTTTGGGAAAGATGTAGCTGTACTGGCATCTGGCTAGGGTGGAGGAAAGAAAATCTTTCGTTATCACCCCTTAGGAAGACAAAGAAGGAGTCCTGGTGGCAGAGCGAGGTACAAATTGAGCTGCTAACTACAAGGCCATTGGATCGAAGACACCGGTGCTTCAGTGGGAGAAAGTTGAGGCTGTCTACTCCTGTCAAGATTTAAAATCTTGGACACCCAAACGGGCAGCTTTACCCTGCCTTATGGGGTTTCTATGACTCAGAATCAACTAGATGGCAGTGAGTTTGTTTTTATTTTGTTTTTTAAAGGGGGAAAAAGCCCTGGTGGCATGGTCACGAGTCAGAACAGACTCAATGGGAATTGTTTGCTTGTTTGTTTTCAGGACAAAAGTTGTGAGGTGGGGCGGGGTCTAGCAGCGTTTTGCTTTGTTGGCAGTAGGGTGGCTTTGAATTTGACAGAGCCTAATAGGAACCTAAGAAAATACGAAAGGGTGTAGCTTTTCATTAGCTCTGTGCCCTCGGACCAATCAGGTAATTTCTCTAAACTACACTGCTGTCTGCTACTTTACCAGGTGATGATGAGCATAAAACAGATGCGAAAACGCCTCACTATATTCACCCAAATCGAGGAAAGTTATGGTGGGGTACAGAAATCGGAACCCTAAAATATCAGCATGTAACAAGAGTAATGAAATTCCCCTTACAGAATTGTTGTGTTAGGATCAATGCCTATAATGCCCTTAACACAGTATGATCGCAATAATAAGAGTTGAATAGCAGTAGTTATTATAGAAAATAGTAATACTGCCTTGCTTTACGGGCTCAGCTGCCGAATCCTTTTCTAGGCCCAGGCAAGAGCGAACCGCGGGGTGGGGTGGGGGGTGTCTAAACTCTGGAGTCATCTGGGAAGTATCTTTGCTGGTTTCCGTCAGCTGAGCCCCCTGAAGGCTTACGTCATTTAAGTGGCAAAACCCTGTGGAAATTGGTCTGACTATTGGTTTCCAGTGTGGCCTGTGCTCCTTCCTGTTTTTCTCCAAGCGCCTGGAAGCACAGGAATGGGGGGCTTTGTGCATGGGAACATTGCAGTCGCTCCTCCATCCCAATTTCCCATGAGTGTTTTGAAGCCGTCCTCGTTTAAGCTGAAGATCCCAGAACTGGGCAGTTGGTAGCTTCACTGTTATGCTTATTCTAAGAGTAATACTTGCGATAGAAAAGTTGGGAAATGGTCAGGGTGATGGTTGAACAACACAACGAATATAATCGCGGTCACTAAACTGTACGCATGAAGATCGTTGGAACGGCAAATGCTTTGCTACCTATTCCTTTACCACAATTTAGAAAAGTGAGATGGCTTAAGGGAAAATGGGAAAACCCACAGTGTCAAAGGAAGAGAATTTATACCCCTTTACAGGGCCTGGGCCCAGAGGGAGTCCTGGTGACCATCCTGCGGGGCACGAAGACATCTACGTCATTGGGATCATACTGAAAATATTACTACACTCGCTCACCTTTTTTTTTGTGCTCCTCTTTTACTTTAAAACATTGTACATTGTGAAACACAATTGTAACAGTACATCTCCACAGTTACCAAAAGGGAACTTCTTCTTAAACGAGAAGAGGGTCATGCACTCTGCCACCGCCTCTCCTGTGCCCCCGCCCTTCCACACACCCACCATTATTCTTGGCAGGCAATTCCTTGCTTTACCTTGGCTTATCACCTGGAACAATACAGTTCCGATTTTTCCTGTTTAACCTTCGTACAAATGGAATCATACTAATGTGTTCTTTTGTCTTGTGTCATTCAACATTATCTTGCTATAGACACAGTGCCTTCATTTTGAAGGCTGTGTACTATGCCATGTGTAAACAGACCCTAACCTGTGCATCACCTTGTAAACAGACACTGGGTTGTTTACCCTCTGGGGCTATGACTGGACACTCTTGCCATCTACCCTGGCAGACAAGTATCTCTGGAGACCCTAGCATATACGGCTGGGCTGTACCCAGAGTTTTTGACTTCACACTCTCTGACCAGCATTTTTAAAGGACGCATAATATCCCAGTGCTGTATGATCAGACATCGCGATGGCTTGCAGCTTTCCCACATTGTATACAGCACTGTGATGCAGATGCTCTATGTTAGGTTCCAGTTGGGTTTCTTAAGGTCGAATGTTTTACAATACAAGGAAAAAAAGGGGGATGAGCATAGCAATACTTTCGCTATGATTTCTATGATGCGCATTTCTCCACGAGTAGGAGAAAGATGAACTGTGGCGCTCTCTGGGATTCATCTCTTCTTCCTTTGACATTGTGGGTTTTCAACTTTTCCATCATAAAGTCGTATGGCCTGTTTTTTGTGGTAAGTGGATATGTAACGAAACGTTTTCCATTTCAGTCATCTTCACGGGTACCGTTCCGTGGCCCAGTGACTTCGCAAGTGCCAGGTTTCTGGTCCGCAATGGCAAGAAGGTATAGGTCCTACTGATGGCCTTTCATCGTGTGTGTGTGTGTGTGTGTGTGTGTGTGTGTGTGTGTGTGCGCGCGTGTGCTTTCATCTCATGATGCTACACTTACCCACAATGTCTCCTTTAGGAAACACAAAACTGCCGAAATTCCCTGTGCCACCTCTGTCATGCCCAGACGCTGCAGATCACGTATCATTCTAACCTCCCGGGAAAAGGAAAACGAGCCCACGGCGTCTATGTCAATCGTCTGATGAACACTGGGTAGGTGTTCCCTTCATGCTTTGAAAAACCTTCCCAAGGTGATCCCAAGTACTTGAGATCACTCAAGTACACCAGAGGCAAGAAGGATCTCTCTCTGGTTATACTTCTGATTCTGGCCACCTGCACACGGCGTCAACGGAGATAGGTGTCCGCACATTGCTCCTGGCCACATGGACAGCAGTCAGACTTCCGTTGAGTTCCTTTGCCTGTGGACTCCAGCCTTCCTCGGTTTGCTCTGCATGCATCAACCTGCTCCTTGGGTGTCATGTGTAGAGCCTGCTGAGTGACATCACCTCGCCATATTGGTCACCAGTCCTCGTAAATGCCAGGCTTAGACATTGCCCTGAGTGGAGCACTGGCAGAGTGGAGGAAATAGGTTCTGGGTGATTAGAACTTGGAGGTTTGCTAAGGCTCCAGAGGCTGCATCTTGGCATCACAGGGAGGCAGCACCTTCTGAGCAAGGGTCTGCAAACCAGAGAGGGAAGCTTACTCACAATAAGGCATTGTATCAAAAGGACTGCGCAGGCGGGCAGAACTTCCTTGGAGGTGACTGCTTCGGCAGATATTCCCTAGCAGTGGAACGGTCCTTATCTGTGTGTTCGTACTATGTGTTTACATAGTGGGAGTTCTCGTTGGATTCAGATAGGTCAATATTAGGAGACAAGATGACCACAGTTATTAAGTCTTTGCTGTTCCTTGCTTCCTTGAGGCCCCTTCTAACAGGGCTACTGTTAGATGCCATAAATCCCAACTCACAGGGACCCTCTAGGTGAAGGAAGCACTGCTCAGGCCATACCATACTCGCAAGTGCTATGTCGAAGCCCACTGTGGCAGCCATTGTGTCTATCCACCTCATTGAGGGTCCCATTCTTTTTCATGAACTCTCTATTGAACCAAACATGATGTCTTTCTCCGGGGACTTATGCAGGGAAGAGAAGGTTTAAAACCGAGGAGAAGGCCGGAGTTATTAATAAAGCCTCGGCACCATTGACTATGTCTGGTGGTCCAAGGGGTTGGCGCTGCTAGACCGTGGGTACCTTATCCACAATCAGGGCAGGACACGGCCTGGGAATTCTACCTCCAGGATTTCACAAGTGGAATTCACAACTTCACAAATGCCACAGGTCATCCGTGATAGCCTAGTCAATGAGTTCATGAGGGGAATCAGGGAGAGAATATCAAGATGTCTTCTGATAGGCTGTCAGCCCATGCAACAAGTTGACCAGCAAAGCCTGTCTTTTCTGTCCCTAACTCATCATTACATTTCCCCTCTTCTCTTTTCATCCATCGCCACTGCCATTGTTCATGTTGTTAATTTTTCCTGATTGAAAGCCTGCTAGTAGCCCGTAAGCCTTCCTTCTGCCTCCAGTCCTACTGCTAGAGTGATCTTTCATGGGATGGTTACAATCCCGATCATTTTTCTGATCCAAACACTTTTTTATATCTCATTGTAAATAAGGTTCAAACTCCTTGACATGCCATGAAGTATCTTCTAAGAGCTGTGTCTCTCTACTGTCCATCCTACTTACCTTTGCGTTACATATACCCCAAATACTTGTTGAGCACTTGTTATATATCAGGCCCTGTTTGGGGCACTGAAAGTAGCAGTTACCAAAACAAAGTTCTCTGTCATATGGAGCTTGCATGTTATTGGGTAATGGGACAAAACCATAAATAAAATGTATACTATATCAGATTGTGGAGGAGCCCTGCTGGTGTAGTGGGTTACGAGTTGAACTGCTAACTGCAAGGTCAGCTGTTCAAAATCACCAGCCACTCCACAGGAGAAAAATGAGGCTTTCTGCTCCCATAGAGATTTTCAGCCTTGGAAACGCACAGATGTAATTCTACCCTGCACTGTAGGGTCACTGAATTGGAATGGACCCCACAGCAGTGAGGGTTTTGGTGATATCAGATTGTGATAAGTGCTATGGAGGGGAAAAAGGGAGAAGAAGAGCTAGTGCTTGTACTTGGAGATTGTTGCAATTTTAGATAGAGGGATTGGGAAAATAACATTTGTGCAACAACCTGACGGAGGTGATAAGTGGGGGGTGGGGGGTGGGGGAACCTACCCAGACCATGGGCATCACGAGGACTGAGGCTCAAAGCCAGAAACTGCAAGGAAGGCAGTGTTACTGGTGCAGGTTGAACAAGTGGGGAGAACAGCAGAAGGGAACGTTGAGAGGCAACAATGGCCCGGGTGGAACATTGTGTAGGTCTGAATTAGCCCTTGTCAGTAGATGTTTGGATCCTTTTTGGATTGAGATGGGAAGCCACTGGTGGATAGGACTCTAGGCATGACTTGTGTTCTGCGGGGAGTAAACCTTAAGAGGGGTGGAAACAGAAGGTGGCTTGGATCATAGTAGTGGCAATGGAGGCATCGATTCTAAATACGTTTTAAAGGTGGTGGTGGTTAGCTGCTGTCTAGTTAGCCTCTGACTCATATGACCCCATGAAAAAAGGTAGTCGAAGTGTCTGCTGACGGGTCACCTGTGGGGATGAGAGAGAGAGGAATCAAAGCCAACTCAAGGTTGTGGTTGCCTTTTTCTGAAGTAGGTTTGGGACATGCTAAATTCAAGGTGCCTGTTGGATATCCAGCTCAGAAGGTTGAGCAGGTGGTAAGATCCGTAAATCAGAGATCCAGACTGAAGATCTGAATGCGGAAGTCATGAACCAAGAGCCATGAGGTGGCTGAGAGTGCTCGGGAAGAGTGAGGAAATGGGGAAGAGGACACAGGAAGCCAAGGAGGCGTTGCTGGAAAGTTAGGAGGGAAACAGTGTGTAGGATTCTGGAAGTCAGGAGACCAAAGAGTGTCAGGGACAGCGACTCCTTTGGGGGTCGAACGACCCTTTCATAGGGGTCGCCCGATTCATAACAGTAGCAAAATGACAGTGATGAAGTAGCAACGAAAATAATGTGATGGTTTGGGGGGGGTGTCACCACCACAGGAGGAACTGTAGTAGAGAGTCATGGCATTAGGAAGGTTGAGAACCACTGGTCAGGGAGAAAGAAATCGACCGTGTCAAAGCTTTAGAAAGATTAAGAACGATGGAGACTGCAGGTAGACCATGTCTATAGCAATATGGATTTCATTAATGGCCTTACAAAAGGAGACCTGGAGGGCCATGGGTATGCAAAAATCTGATTGGGAGGGCCCGAGAATGAGGAGTTGAATGTAGTCAGTTGAGGCTGATGAAGTGGGTAAGTAATGAATCTGGGTGCCTTCTCTCTGTAGCCTTTCAACTTCACACTTGCTGCCTTGTGGTCATAAAGGTGCTGCTGCTCCTGGAGGGTTCACACCTGTTTCCAGATAGGAAGGCATGGAGAGGACTAAAGTGAAGGTCATGTACGTTCTATTAGGCCAAGGTCTCCAAAGACACAACGTACTTCTTAGTTCACTCGGCTTAAAGCATCTTCCTTCCTTTTTGGTCTGACTAGGTTTTATCTTCTCTTTCAAGTTTCAACTAAAGTCAGGGACAGTTTCTCTGGGAAACCTTACCCCCCTCCACCACCAACAGTTTCATTGGCATATAATTCATGTTATACAATAGTTTAATCACATCAAGCGGAGTTGAACAATCATTATCACAATCAGTTTGAGACCGTGTTCTTCATTCTTGTACTCATCATTAGTAGCTCCCATTCCACCACCACCCCGCCACCTCATCCTCCCCTGCTGTGTCCCCAAGGAACCATTAATTCACAAAAGTTTCCTTAACTCTCTGGGCTGAGTTAAGTGTTCTTGGTCTGTGACCAGAACCTTTCATGGATTCCAAGGAATATCTCAATGCTTTGTCTGTCTTTGTAGTTTTCTCTTTTGCTGTGTAACCTATTCTAACCTTGGCCCTGGAACTTATTTTGGCCAACGAGATGGTTTTAAGCAAAGGCTTAAAACTCATTTATACAGTTGGACATGCTATTGCTCTTGTGTATAAGCTACTGTCGTGAGAACATGCCTGTTGGAGGATGAGAGGCACTTGAAGCAGACCTAAATCATCATGGTTGTGAAACTTTCCTAGATCAGTCAATATCAGCCAACATCCACAAATTTCTGTATCAACAGAATCACTTAGCCAAATACCCTAGACATTGTGAACCACTGAATGTGTGTTTGTCAGTATTATTGTGACTCGGGGTGATTGTTTACAGAGTCCCTTGAGGATAGTTTTGTCACAGGCCTTACCCATCTTCCCAAAGAATGTTGCGGAGCTTCTTTAAGGCAGGATCATCTTTTATCTATGTCTGTCCAGCACTTAGCACAGTGCTTGGCATATAGAAGGTGCTCATTGAAAATCTGTCAAAGGAATGAATGAATAGACCTTTGTTCTGCCTTTGAAAGGGAACTTACTGTTTTGTGCACAACAAATACAGAATTCCCCATAACTAAACAATGTAATCATTTGAACTCACCCACAGAAAACCTGGTTCAATAAGATACATTGAAGCTACAATATAAAATAAACTCTCATCACAGATTAACTCATTTTCCTACCCCAGGTACAACGGTCATTTCTTAAACACGGGCACCCAACTGTATCTTTTATTATATATTACATAGATCAGTTTAAAGGTAATCTAAATCCTATAAGCATACTTTAAACAGTAGAGTGTAAATAGGTTGATATGACTCAGTCTAGATATACTTACTATTATCGTCAGCACACAATTCCAAACCATTTTAACTACAGACACTTCCTAAATAATGTCAGGAGACTCACACCGGGGGAAAACCAGCATGGCGTGTAGTAACGTGGAAAATAGAGGTTTTCCACGAGAGATCTGAGGAGGAAATATCATCTCCTTTAGCCTAGTCAAGCAGGTGGGTAGGAGGGTGGGCATATCACCTTCAGGAAAGGCCATGTGGTATGGCATGATTTGGGGACCCTGGACAAATGAACTTTTCCAAACAGGAGGGCTTCTGTACAGCCATAGAATAAAGGGTTATGGACAGGCGGGAGCCCTGATTGTGAAGTGGGAGCATTTAACATTACCCTTGGCTT